TCTGTTGTTGTTGCTTTTATTGATGTTTAACTTTTTTTTTTTTAATTGTTTTGGAAAGGGGGAGGGGGTATCTGTTAAAGTCTTTTTGTTTAATTTCGTTGTTGTTTCTTTCTTTCTTTCTTTTTTTGGGCTGAGGGGGGTGTATTATTGTGTAGTATAGGTTCATCAATTTACGAACAAACAAATCGTTTTCTACTATTAATAACTTAAAACAGCCCCCCAAAAAGTCAGATAGAACTTTGCAATTCTGAGGTAGAGTAATATAAATGCTCTTACTGTACTTGAAAGGAACAGAAAGTCTTCAAAAAACGTCACAGGACAAGAATCTGTGTCCCCTGGGAGTTAACCCTCTTAGCACGATATATAGGTCAGCAGGTCATCACAGCTGAACCAGAATGGCGGCCAGCTGATGGCTTCCTAGATCCGATTTATTTCAGTGTTTTTCGGAGTTTCAGAGGGTGTAGCAAAGAGATTGCTTTAACTTTTGACGCAAGCGACTTTTTTAAAATGAAATTTCATCTACAAAGATCTAGGTTGTCAGCATTTAAATTTAGAGCGGAATGTTCTCAGTCTCTAAGCCTGCGCTAAAGACGTGTGTGTCAGGTCCGGAAAAGTCGGTATGGCAACTTGGCCTGGATGTCGGTTTAGGTCGGTGTAGCTCAAAAGGGATTAATGCCTTATTTTCCTTGCAGGTATTATCACCTATGTTGGTGCGGCGATGAGCTTTTTGGGGGTGCTAGGTTTGGAACTGTACAGAGAGGATGAGCAAGTGTGGTACCTGGATGCAGCGTTTGGACTCGCGTGTGGGATCTTCCTGCTTTTATTTGGCCTTAAGTAAGTAACGTTGTGAGCGTGTTTGTATTTTAGTGGGTTTTTAGTTTTAATAAGTGTTTTACGGCATTTGCAAGGCAATAAGGTCATATAAGTGTCGATTAGTGGGTTTGTGTGTGTTTATGTGTTTGAGTGATTCTGTGATTGTTTGTGTGTATGTATGTTTGTCTCTGAGTTTATTGTGTATATTTTACGTACATGTCATTTGAACACAGGAAATTAGAACAACGTAAAACTTATAATTAATCTATGGACATTATTTTATTACTATAATCGTCCACTGGTAATCAGGGCATTAAAGAAGAAATCAGACTTGTTATCCTTATAAAATAGTACTGATGATGATGATGATGGTGATGACGATGATGAAGGAAATGGCGATATGATGATTATTATTATGATGACGATGATGAAGGAAATGGCGATATGATAATTATTATTATGATGATAGCCATGATGATGATGATGATGATGATGATGATGATGATGATGATGATGATGATGATTATGATGATGATGATGGTGGTAATGATGACGATGACGACGACGATGATGACAATAACGACAACGACGACGACGATGATGATGATGATGATGATGATGATGATGATGATGATGTGCCTTAACCGGTGACCGTTAGATCAGGTTTGACCTTACACCTTTCCGTCCCCAGGCTACTTACTCAGATGACGTGCCTATACAAGAAACATCAGCCTATGGAAGACGATGACGACGAAGAAGTAGAATGACCACCACAGCAGTGTCTTTTGTGCTTTCACATTGTTGATTTACCTGCTTCAGTCACGTGGTGCCTCGAGGATGTGTTGAATATCCAAGCCATGAACATGGTGACTATCGTAATAGTCCCGAAATATTTCAGGAGAATGTGTAAACAACAACAAATGCTTAAATCAATAACTGGGTGCAAAATTCTGACAAACGCCAAATTGAAAAATGGCTTTTGTCGGCGTCTTGTGTCCTACCTTCAAAATGGATGCGTTTCTTGAGGACGTGTTATGGATAATATGATTATTATGTTCAAGTGACACTTATAGGCAGAGAGGATTTACATATGTACATAATAATCTATTTTTATTGTAATATTTGAGCTCTGTACTACTGTGGAAAAATGGCGCTGGATAATATTGGTTACTTACAAAACTGTCATGTTTTGATATGGTGGACCAAAGCTGATCAGAGTTTGAGCATTTTCCTCAATTACATTCTGATTTAATTAACGCCAAAGACAACCATTCCAAGAATAAAACAAAGGAAAAAATATCAGGAAATAAACCAAAGACCATACTCAAGTGTGCACACTTTATTCGCTACTTAAGAATTACAAAGTTCTAAATTTTTATCTGAAATTCCTCGGACGTTTTGAGTTACTAAGAGCATGGATGAGATCAGAAACCAAACATTCTGTCTGATCTATCAAAATCGTAAGAATAATATTTCGGAATAGTTTTCAAGATACACAAGTAATTGCATTCGAGGAAGCTCGACGTGCTGTGAAACTCGAATTATTTTTCGTCCGATTTCTCAAAACTAGGTGCTAAGCAGATAACACTTTGTAATTCTACGATAGCGCATTGTCATTAGCCTGTGCACCGTTAGCTTGCTTGATATCACACTGAACTACGGAGCGCATGGCCCTCAGTGGAGTCCTTAATAGTAATGGAGCGACCTGGATTCGGATTATTTGGGGGAGTTTTTGAAGCTCTCCACTCATTCATTGGCTCCGTCTTTTCGAAGATTTTAGTTTTTTTTAGTTTAGTGAGAGTTTAACGGCATTTGCAACACAATAAGGTCATATAAGTGCCGAAGATGGGCGCTACATTTGGTGATTCCCTTTTTAAAATAATCTTACAGTGTCATAAGGGGAGATAAACCTTTATAATGACCAAAGACCTAGAAGACAATAAGTGAATTATTCAAAGTATGGTCTTATACCTGTCGTGATCTGCATTTGGATACAGGCTTTGTATTTCGTCCGCCAGCTGTTCAGATGTACTAGACCACGAATTTTTACTGTTTTTTTTTTTCAATTGCAGTTTCTTAATCTGTTTAGTTTAGTTTAGGTACGAATTTTACGGAACTTGCAACTCAATTAGGTCACAATAGTAGAAGTGCCGAGGGTTAGAAGTGTACAAGAGAGTAGCAAACACAAAGAGTAGGGAGGAGAGATAAGGAAATGGGTGCTAGGAAATAAGGAGCAAACCACACCAGAGCTCCTGCCAACCACCTACTCGTAATCTGTGGTATGATTTGCATGTGTTCTAGAACATGAATGTTGTCAAAATTCTCAATTCTAAATGTTGATAAATAGAAGGAAAAGGCACATCATGTTGATAATATACATTCTCTCTCTCTCCTAAAGAATTTGCATTGTGGACTAAAGCTTTTGAACAGCTTGCAAAAGATTAACGTTTCTTGTCGCTCTTTCATAGATCCCCCTTTGGGTAAATTGGAGTTGATCAAAGTGTTCCACTCTGATATAAAGAGATGAACAGCTTTTCTAAAAGTTGTTTTAATTTTCGACTTCTTCGTCTTTGACTGTCCATCGACACAGATGAAGACTGCAAATGTGCTTTAAACCAGACAAGAACATTAGAATTTATAGGCCACAAGGCCTGCTTTGGATCTACACAATCTTCACATTTTTAGACTCTGGAAGTCTGATTGTGAGGGTTTACAATGTCTGGTGTTGTGAGAGTTATATTTGTTTCGTTCAGTCATAATAAATCCTTTTCATATCAGGATGTCTGAGTGCAAGAAGTGACTAGATCTATATCCACTTTTCAACAGTTTCGAGAAAAACGAGTTTGAAAATTTGACGAGAATGAAATCTCTATGACATAATCAAAAAAAGAAAGGTTAATCAAATTAAGCTATGGCTTAGATATTTACAGAAGTTAAAGAGAGGCTTAAAATCTTACTATCCGAATCAATCACTCAATTTCGACCAAAAGTGGGTATAATCACTTCTTGCACTCAGCAATCGATCAATGCCACTAAATAATATGTTATGTGTAAAAAGCATATCAAAGTGAACGTTGATGGTGATTATGAATGTTATTTATGTGTTCACAGAACTGCTCTGCACCCCCC